ARRMWGYWKTTCAAGTGTCCCCAAGAAAGAGAGGGTYAGTGGGCGATTTGGAAAGAGGACGAAGTCTAAATAGATGCAGTAACAATCTGGTTGGCAACTATTTCCCAGATTTTTTGCTCAAAATGTTTTCATCGTGGACAGGAGACGTGCGATGGACGAAGCTGAGACAGTTCGACAGTAGTGACGGTGAAACCAGGAAAGTCGTGCCTCACACTGCTAGCGATGATAGTGATGAAGAATGGTTGGCACAACTCGAAAGAGATTACGCAGCGTCTAACAGAAAACGTTATCGAGGCAAATGCACTTTTATTGAACGATGTTTAATAACTGCTTTATCTATAACTATAGTCATAACGATTATTTTAGCTTCAGTAATGATTGCCAGGAAATATGGACCCAGTATCCAATTTATAGACCGGCCAAAAACACTTGAGTGCGAGTCTAAAGGCTGTATATCAGCCGCGTACAGTGTTATAAACAAAATAGACGAACAAATCAAGCCTTGCGACGATTTCTATCAATATGTTTGTGGTAAATGGGTCAGGGATTCCTTTGTACCCAGTGGAYTCAAGAAATACACCTCTTTTCATCAAGTAGCAGAACAAAATGAAGGAAAACTTAAAGCGATCCTTGATCGCAGTGATCTAACGATGAATGAAAGTGCAAAAGTCATCGACAAAGTTAAAAACTTCTATACTGCTTGTCTTAATAAGACAAAGATTGATTTGGCTGGGAATGAGCCTATCTTCAAGCTCATAAAAGATGTGGGATCCTGGCCTCTCACTGGAGGGACATCTTGGAGCGCAGAGAGTTGGAACTTTGAACAAGCTTTAAGTGCGATGCACAAGTTGCAGAGTACACCKTTGTTTTACATGTTTGTATCGAGTGATGATAGAAACTCCAGTGAAAATATCATCCAGGTACGTCAAACTGTCTTTATCTTCACTCTCCCATTCACTTATCCATCCATTCGTTCATCTATTCATATTTTCCCAATGGAATCATTAGATTCAGCAAGCTGGTATATCGTTGTCCGACAGAGAATACTACTTAAAAAATGAATCTTATAAGGTAAGCTAGTAAACCAGGATTCATACCTCACTAAACACGAACTCAGTTGGACAATAATGTTTTTCAGATAGCAAACGGCTACAAAGCTTTCATGRGAAAGATTGCCATAATGCTTGGAGCAGACGAGAATACAACSAAGGTACAAATGGAAGAAGTCTTTGAATTCGAGAAGAAGTTAGCCGAGGTTTACGAACCAAAGCTGCGCGATTCAGAGTCTGCCTATCATAGGATGACAATGGAAGATCTACAACAGCTTGCGCCTGCTGTAAGTACTARTCTGCAGTATGTCAACCCCGTTGCGTGACAGTTCCTTAGCATACCTTGCGTGACTATTGGTTTCTTTCATAGATTCCATGGATGGATTACATGAATAATATCTTTAGTACACCAGTCAGTCACGATGAGCCAGTTGTTGTTTATACACCTACATTTCTGAAAAATATGTCTGAGCTCGTAATACGAACAGACAGAAGGTAAGCCGTGTTTGAGAACCTCCCCCCTCCCTCCACCCCGAGGGAAGGTGGGCGCGTTTGGTTTTGGTTCTGTCTCAGTTTKTCTCAATATTTGTGCTTTTAAAAACCTTTCCCCTGATATGCCCCAACCATGCATGCATTCGAGACTATTTCCTCGTGACAAAATTTCTGTTCCCTCTAACACTACCTAGTCATTGTTCTGAGCTAAAGTCAGATTAAAAACTCGTCGGATTTCCAATATTATTTATTCCCATTCTTGTAGGATTTTAGCGAACTACATGGTGTGGCATCTTATCAAGCCTCTACTCAGTGAGCTACCAAAGCCTTTCAAGGACGCTAGCTTAGACTTCCTTAGAATAGAACAGGGAATAGAGGGTGGGGCACCCACGTGGAAGACATGCATTACTAAAACAGATAAAGTGATGGGGTTTGCTACGGGATATCTTTACACCAAAACTCACGAAGGAAAGAAAGTGAAAGACGAGGTAGGAAACACAGATTGACATCATTCATGATAGTAAATAATTAGTGAAGTTGTCTTGATTACTGGTTTTACGTCCACAGGCCGAGCAAATGATTCGTTACATTAAAGAGTCTTTCATAACCAACCTTGATGAMATCAAATGGATGGATAAAGACACCAAGAAACTTGCAAGGCAAAAGGTATAAAGAAGTCAAAAGACGATGAAATAAAGACGAGAGATCACCATTTCTACACAGCTGAAAGTTTTCTGCATTACTTTCTTTATCAAATGTTGTTAACTTTTGATTTCGATTCATATGAAACAGGCAGATGAAGTTGTCCACATGATTGGATACCCWGAGTGGATCGCAAACCCAGAAAAATTAGACAAATATTACGAAAATGTGAGTCTGATAGTGAAACATTGTGCTGCACATAATTGTCATTTCATTGGTGTTGTAACGTCACTATATCACGTGATCGACCGTGACATCACGATTCATAGTATAAGGTGATGGTTGATATTAAATGATTCAATTCAATTGCAGTTGACAGTTTCGCCCGATGATAGTTTTGAGAATCTGCTSAACGCTCGCCGGTTCTACCATCAAAGATCAATGGACAGAAGGGGTAAAGAGATCGACAGGAAAGAGTAAGTACTTACACAGGAAGCCCAATCATGACAGATGCGATGTGAGATCTTCAATACTTATAATGAACTGATTTTATTATTCCTTCAGATGGCACATGACTCCAACAGCAGTAAATGCATATTATAATGCACCGAATAACTACATAGGTAAAGCAATAGTGCTTGATTTATTCACCTCTTGAGGTTTTAATGTGGCTCTGAATTCAATACGCATGCTCCAATTTTTTTGTTGTTTCTTATTTGCATTGACTTCAGTACATGTAAGATTTGACGTTTATGACAATGCGTATATGGCATAAAAGCTTTGGCACAGTTTTTTTTTACTTCAAAGTTTCTTCAAAAGTACGTGATCTCTCATTTAAACATGGCGGCCAAGTGATCGAAAAGGATCATGGGTGCTAAATCTCATTTAACATTTATCTATGATTTTCTCTTTCAGCATTTCCTTCAGGAATTTTACAGCAACCATTTTTTGACTCTGAATTTCCAAGGTATGTTTTGTATTTGTGGAAATAGACATATATATCTTAGATTAACGGGTTTTGGCGTCGGTGAAACAGTTTTTATGAAATAGCGCTAAATATTTTGAAAACGGCTGAGGTTTTTGCTGTTTAGTCATTGTTTTAATGAAATCCTGAAGAACTCCTAACCTAAGGCATTTCAAAGTCATAATAACCTCCACCTTTAACAGGGCTGTCAATTATGGCGCTATTGGAGTCATCATGGGACACGAGCTGACGCATGGCTTTGACGACAAAGGTAACCGCTGGCCATTGACACTGCTCGTTTTTGACCGCATTTTAATAAATTACATGATTTTTCACCAGGAAGAAAATTCAACAAAAATGGTAATATTGAGTCTTGGTGGAAAAACGAGTCAGCGGTTGCTTTCAAAGAGCGCTCTTCGTGTATGGTGGACCAGTACGCGAACTACACGGTTGCTGGGCAACGCGTGAGTAGTGAAGTATTTCCTCTCTTTGTAAATGATGCTGTCATTTATTCAACAGTATTGCATCTTCTATAGGTGAATGGCAACCAGACTTTAAGCGAGAATATTGCCGACAACGGTGGCTTAAAGTTGGCTTATAAGGTATGTGACGTCACTTGTATATTTGCACATGCATACCCGGATGTTTAAATCACGATTCATTGGTGAAAACCAGTATAGCAAAGTTTCTATTGATATATTACAGGCATATCAAAAGTGGATAAGTGACCATGGCAACGAGTCAAAGCTACCTGGCCTGGATATGACGTCAGATCAGCTTTTCTTCGTTGGTTTTGCGCAGGTTTGTAAAAGTTGCTGTTGTTTTCAATTACACCAGATGTACAGAAATCCATGAAACGTTAGGGTTTGTTTTTTTATTTCTACATCAGGTGTGGTGTGTTTCGTCAAACAAGGAAAGCATTAGAAACGCACTTCTCACAGATATTCACAGTCCTGAGAAAATCAGGTAAAATTAGTTCAGCGGTTTTCTCTTCAGCCGCTCGAACTCAAAATACAATAAATTCTTTTTATTTGACAACAAATTTCGACCGAGTGGTCGTTAATACGTACCCTGCGAGCAGAGGAATTTTCCACCGGGAAAAATTCCTCTGCTCGCAGGGTATTAATACGAGGTCATTATTTCAGACAATGAAACCTAACATGCTGTATATGTTGCATATTTCAAAGGGTTCAAGCAGCAGTGTCCAACTCACGAGAGTTTGCCAAGGCATTCAAATGTCCAGCGGACAGTCCCATGAATCCAGCACGCAAATGTGAAGTTTGGTGATGACGTCATCAAATCTAATCTAAAAAAAGGTTGAAGGCTAAAACATCGCTAAATAAACCTTTTTTGCTGAATCCATTTATCGCTTTTATAACAATAGTTTTTGTAGCTGTCTCTTGGCCAGTATCAATCAACATATATTTCGTACATATTATCGAGAAAATTAAAAAGTTTAAAACTTGATTTTACTTCAAACTGACTATAGGTACTTCAGTGAAATCACTTTTAATTCTTTATAGTTTTATAAAAAAATTAACATAATACCAAACACAAAGTGTTTCAAAGCTTTCAGAGAAAGCAGCATATTAATTAATTGTAAAATGTTTTTACACTCTTAAACTGATTCAGTAAAAGATATCAATAGCGAAACATTTGTAGATAAAAAGCTTTAATATCAATATGCTTTGAATCATATATACTAATGTGGGGTACACGAATAAATAAACGAATTAATAAAATTTTAGAAAATATTTCTTTACTATCGACGTTGAATCGTAATAAGCATACTTAAACCATCTAGATATAGGACCATTGGTCGACACTAAAATGGTTTAGATCATATACAACTTTTATCACCTTGTTGTGATCATGAAGACCATCAGCTATGGTCCATGACCATGGGGTCAATGACGTACTTGGTAAGGAAGTTGGTGGTGTATTTTTAGACTGTTATTCTACTATTACCCCAGTCCAATATACAACAGATATAGCGCAACAGAAAAGTCCTTAAACACAACGACAAAATTTCTTGTTCACCTCAAAAATCGACATCAGTGGCGTTTATCCCAGCAAAAAAAACTCCAAAATACAGTAAAAAATCTCGAATAAGGAAGGTAGGTAAGCTCAAAAAGTGACAATTTTTAAGCTCCCATTCTTAAAACAGGAAGGCGAGAATTCTTTAGCGGTTGAAGGCTACTAGTTTTTTTCAGTGTTGCAGGGCCGTAGCTAGTAAGAGGCCAACCGAGGCACYCGMCTCKGTAARAKTTTGCYGATGCTKTTTGTTCTTCATCACTAATATTATCTTAGCCTCTCAGAGCCGATTTCGTACGACTGATTTTGTGCAAAAAATATAAAAATAATGTTATTTTTGTTCGTAATTTTGTACGTGTAGCTTCTTTGTTTCATAAATATTGCATGATGAATTCCGGTTAAATCTGTTCAATAAAGAGTTACCAAAAGGCCCACAAAACGCTGCAACTTGCATTTCCGAGAGACTGAATTTCAAATTTTCTAGGGGGAGAATGCCCCCAGACCCCCCTAGTTTCTCCCGCCATCGGCGGCCGCTTGCCTCGGTTGTCCATTCACCCTGGCTACGGCCCTGT